TATATTTATAATTTTTTAACCAGGGATTGAACCCAGGGGCATTCAATACTAAGCCACATTTGCATTCCTTTTTTAAACTAAGTGTATTAACAAGTATAGTAAAAAGTTAAATGAAAAATGAAAGCCATGAATGCTGTTTTAAATTAGGATAATTTATTGTAAAGGGAAACTAAAAAGGCTACATTTTGTAAAGTATAGATGAGGATACAAGAAGACATGATGTAGGCAATTATAAGATGATAATTATTCTTAAAATTGTAGATGCTAAATTCTCTTCAATCTTGGCTTGGCCCAGGGTGAGCTTGTTTGCTTTAGTTGATTGAAGTCTAGTATTGGGGATCTTCTTTTGACTTTAGGTGTTGGGTTTCCAGGACACCCAGGATTTTAGTAGAAGCGAGAAAATCCATATCTTCCATTGTATGATGGGCGGCCTAATCCATACCCATAGCCTCCAAAGCCAGAGCCATATCCGTAGCCTCCATAGCCACAGCCATAGCCCAGTCTGTGGAAGCTGCCGCAGCCACAGCCATAGCCATAGCCCAGGCCACCGAAGCCTCCAAGGCCGTAGCCCCGGCCTCCATAGTAGCTGCCGTAGTAGCTCATGGTGTCAGGAGTGTTGAGTTGGTTTGCTGTTCAGGGTGAGATCACAAGTGTGAATGCTAACATGAGCAGAAGGATGCTTATATACCCTGGCGGAGCACAGAATAGTCATGAGCACACCCTCCTTTTGTGTCACTCTAGGTATTACCTTTAATGTCACAACTCATTAATCTGCTATCTCATGACACAGAGAGGCCCTTATTCTCATTAAAATACTTCAGTTTATTTAATGTTCTATTTGGGATGTCCTTTAACTTAATGTCTCACCTTTATGAGAAGAAATGACTGACTCTTCAAAATACACACATTCCAAGCCTTAAATAAAAATGGCTTGCTACCAAGTACATTGCATCATCTACATGTGATGTATTTTTATTGTATCTCTGTTCTGTTATCTCCCAAAATGATGACTCCATCTCCTACTGTATCCATACCTACTGGCTCAGTTTGCAGATGTTGCATCTGCATTTTTCAAAAAGAAAGCACATTTCTCAAAGTGAGGGCTTAAGAAAGGGCCTATTCTTGAAATATATGAAAGTGTCTTAAATCAAAAAGTCTTTGTTGGCCTGCTGTGTACAATAGCCTATGGTCTCAGGGGAAGAAGGTGCATGGCGAATTTTAGCATTTTAATCATAATAATCTTTGTAATATTTTGGAATTACACACCAGCTTCAGAAACCTTTGAGGCTTTAAAATACATAACCATTAATTCAAAATATGTCTTGTAATCCGGCTTATCAGAGTAATAGTTTAGTTTTTATTTGAAATCCCCTACGTGCCCCCTGTATTTGGTTCTATTCAAAGTCCTACAAAATTGCAGATTGTATCTTTTCTATTTCACACATTCCAGCCAATTTCTTCCTCTCTTTCCCCTTTCAGCAATGCATGCACAACCTTATTTTCATTCATACTTTACCTTTTCTTTTCTACCTGCTCTCACAGTGCTTACTAGGAACAGCCACATAAAAGAACACAGTCATCACACCTTTTGCACTGACTTCCTTTTATTTATCTCAATTAATGTCTCCTCTATTCTCCCTCACCTTCATATTAACTACAAGATATTTACCTTTGTTTTTGTGTCTATTTGGTATCCAGGTATTCTCTGGCAAACTTTAGACTACTCCCTCCTTATCTGTTAAAAGACTTTCTTTCTGGTATCCTGTTAAAAACATACACCATTCCCTGAGGCTTTCTGTCAGATTTAAAAATGTAGGTGGTCTTCAAGGTTTTCACAATGAAGTCACAGTGGCAAAATGACATATATCCATGGGGAAATTTGTCCTCGGCTCATTAGACCAGCAGTTCACGAGTCAATGCACCAGGTCCAAGACTGGCCCTCTCCTGGTTTAATCTCCATGTAGCACTAACTTTCAGCTTGGATCACTAAAAGCACAGTTAATTCATATGACTTTGAACATGTTACTGAGTTTTTATGAGGTTTACAAGTATTCTTTCAAAGTTAAATTTCCTATAATAAATTGTTCAGTTCTTGTAAAGAACACACTAGGGAATTAATAACTCTTTATTGAACTACTGGAGAAGTCCTACGTAGATTGACAGGAAATCGCTTGGCTCTCCCAATCTGGGCAATACCCTTAGGACAGGTTAGCAAGTTGCTCTGAGAGAAAAATGGCTCAGTATGTCTTTTAATGTGTAGAGGAGAATTTAACCTAAAAATGTTATTATATTTCCATATAAATAATGTTTTACTCTTATTTCTCAACTGAACTTGAAATGGTTGATAAAGTTGTTAAGCTGAATTTTAAACCTCTCTCTTTTACTCTGTGTTTTTGTTTTTGTTTTTTGGTACTGGGGATTGAACCCAGGGTAATTTGGCACCGAACTACACCCCCAGCATTTTTATTCATTTTTTCTAAATTTTGAGACAGGCTTTCACCAGGTTGCCACAGTCTTGCTACTGAATTTTTATTCTCAACTAGAATTTTTGAATACCTAGAAGCACAAATAATAGTTAAGATACCACATTTTTGTCCATATAACTCAGCCAGAGAATGACTATTAGCTAACAGGTGTTTGAGATGGATAAGTACACATCCACAAAAATGTAAAACCAGGCAAGACATAAATTCAAAACCTCAATAATCAAATAAGCGACTATCCTTTTTTATTCTTTTTGAAGGAATAAAACATAACACTTTCCACAAAACCATTTATTATTATCTGTAAAAGAAAAAATTACTCAAATATACAATTTACAGAACAGGTTTTCCCTTGTTAGTTTCAAGTGAAAGAATAAACAAATGAAGATACCCATTATAATAGAGTGACACACATTTCTTTGAAAAGATATTGGTTGTATGCTAAGTTGTAAAACCTAAAGTGAACTGAAAAATGTTCTTTTTCTTTTTTCTTTTCTCTTTCAAATTTACTTTGAAACTATATTGAATAACTCCATCATAATAGATAGAAAAAAGGAAAATAGGTTCGCACTTGGGATGAGTGACAGCCTTTACCTGCATGTAAAGGAAGATTTTGTTGTAAATTCCTACGCTTTCCCTTAACTCAGATACAAATTAATAAAATCTAAAAATGTATGTTACAAAAATATGTTAATTCATTCTAATTATTCTGATAATTTATTTTCTCTGCAACTTTATAATATCTCCTCAATCCGTAGAGATGTTGACTTGCACAAAACAGAATATTTTAGAATTCACCTTTAGGAGTTAACATTCTTTTCAGGGAGTTTCTGAACATTATCTGCCTTACTTCTCCACCGCCTGCCATGAAGGAACAACATGTGAAAAGCAGAAATCATCAATTCTGGCTGAGTTTTATTTTGTTTTATCTTTGAACTGTATGAAGAAATTCAAGTCTTTCATATAAAAAGACATGATCTTGAGTATGGACTTGTAACATTAGTCATTCTTCACTTGCCTTTAGGTACAGCCAAGTTAGCAAATTATACATAGGAGATAAAATACAATAAAAAAATTAACAATAGGAATGTTCAAAAAAAAAGAAGTCTAATGTAATTAAGAGATAGAACTAATCTCCACAAACACTGCAATAAAATTCAAGCCATTCATGGCAATAAAAATTTTCCAGATGGCATTCAAGTTTGGAGTATGCAATGAAAGAACATTAGCATTGTGGAGAGGGCACGGGGCTTGGGTTAAACTACTTGATTCTGACACTTGTGATGTTTGTTATTCCAGGGGAGTCACTGTTGAAGTTTCCATACTTGCTCTATAGGGGGCAGCACTATGCAATAGTCAATGTTGGACACAGCTCTTGTTTCTACTGAATTTCATCACATCTATTAATAATAATGGACTATATGCCATCACTTGAATGTGTCCTTCTATTTGGGAAAAGCAATATATTTCTAGATACTAAATGGATCATATTATGTGAAATACCCACAAGGAAACACTTGATTACAAATACCAATTGATTACAAATCTAATGGAAAAAAAAAAAGAAAGAAGTTGGGGGAAGAGAGAACAAGCAAACAAACTTTTCTGGTGAATGCTGATTCTCATCAAATAAAACTGCATGGAGATTTATTTCTTGACTACGTCTAGACTTTTATTTTCCTTTTGCAGTTGGAATAGTCTTTAATGTCATTAGGATGGTAATATAGTAAAGAAAACATGGAGAGAATCATTGCATGCCACAGAGGAACTGTGACATTAAAAAAATAACTAAACCAACTAAACATTCTTAGCACTACATATATTTTAATTACCTAATTTTAAATACCTTTAGTGACTTGATAAAAAAATCTATTTGTATGGAAAATCCCAAGTAAAATAACACATCATATAGAATGGATTGAGAAATATTACACATAACCATGACATTTTAAAGATATAAATATATTTTTTTTTCTTTCTGAAATTTAGAGAAAGATTTTGGTCTCCCATTGTTATTTTCTTATGATGAAAGAGATGAATAAGCACACATTTTGAAAGAATGGATGTGTTGTGTGATACTACTATTTTGTACTGCATTGAAATATATAATTTTATAAAATTAAAAATATGTAAATATCTTTATTAGCATAAATATGCAGTTGAAAAATATTAGAATTTACTTTTTTTTACTATTGTCAAGTTTAAATGTTAAACATCTAATTAAAAACAAAGAAATTAAGAACTTTCAAATATATTTGAGAAATAATTATTTAATTCAACCTAAATCTGTTTTTCTTTTTAGATGGCTACATCTCTGCCGACCTATCTACAAAATACTTAATACATAAGAAATTACATTGATCTCTACACTGGAAGTAGGAAGTGCTTATACTTGTGCTTAGACTACCTAACTAAAACAAATTCAACAAAAGCTCTGTTTGTTGTCTCAAATCTCAAATGAAGAGACTTTATTAAGGAAAATCAGGAGATAGGATGACGATGAAGTTATTATAATTGGAAATATACTGTATGGCCTAGGTGCTATTTATTTTGAACAAATAGACCTAGCATAACCTTGTCTGACCTGGTGACTGAAATTAGGTTCATCAAGTTCAATCACAGAACCCAATATCAGATTTCTAAAGAAGAATTTGAATAAAGCTAGATAACATATTTCTTTCATAACAACATGAATGACACAGTCTAGTCTGCAGAAGCTGTTAACCTGTAGCAGTGGTCATGCCCAGACCACCAAAGCCCCATATCCTTAAGAAGGCCTCTGCATATGTTGAGGTAAGAGCTTATACACTTAGGAGTCATAGGCTTGGTCTGTTATTGAAGGAATTTCCTGAGTGTGCTTCTCATACTTAAGCAGAGATTTAACATAACACTCTGAGTTTGGGGTGTGGTAAGTCATTTAGACTTACTTAATTTTAATTCCTCTAAAGAAATTGCATGAACAAGTATTATTGGATTTTTTGTTTAATATGTACAAAGTTATCTTCCATATCAGTAAACCTTTAAATTAACATTTTAGCTCAATTATACTTACTCTGATTAAATCGTGTCTATAATGAGAAATATCAGTTACAACTTCAGAGATGGTTCTTGCAACAAGACTTGCATGAACTCCACCTCGCTTAATCTTTAGAGC